AATGCAGATTTAAAGACTGCGCCATTTAAATTTAAATACTCTACATAGTTCAAACTCCAGTCTTTTAGCATTATGTTTCAGGATTACAACGGGCTCAGAAATCTGATTTTCATTCATTGACAAGCAGACAAAGTGTTGGTAACCATTGTCTTGCAGGAAGAGCTTAAATTAAAAGCGTGACATTTAGAAATGGTGGGGAAAAAAAAAAAAAAAAAAACCTCAATTTGTGAAAAAAAAAACCCTATTTGTGACACAAAAAAACTAAACCCTCATATTCTGTTGCCCACACTAGGTAGCTTTACGTCTTTGCCCAGTAGCTGTAGTCTTTCATTCTGAATTCAGAACTGCAAAGAAACAATTTTTGAAAGAGTAAGAACAACCCACTTCTGAACTTGCAATGGGTGAGGACTTTAAAAGCTAGGCTACTACCCACTTCAGGGGGAAAAAAATCTTTAGTTTATGAAACAATTACATCTTTTGAAAAATCACCTTCAAACGGAACCCATGAATGAGGGGCGTTTCAAGTTCAGGTTGAAGGTTATTGCTTGAATTTTCCTCTTTTAACTTCCGTAAGGCGAGAACGAAATTTTCGCCATTTAGCTTCAGGAAAAATATACAATGAAATATTAACTTTAATATTACGCATTTATATATATTTCATAGTCAAAATGCCAAATAGCATTATCTGATATAAATCCAAAAATGACTAAATAATGATATAAAATTAATGGTATTTTCTGAAAGTCGAGCTTAAAAGATGTTATTAAATATATGCTCAAGAATTCTTGGTTGATTTGTAGTGAGATTGTATCTCTTATTAAACCACGGTCATATTTCTATTTATCACATTTGACTGAAAATGGCATTTAAAAAGAAAAATGTATTCCATATTTTCCAACAACGGACTAAAGAAATAATAATTATTCAATTATTTCAATTTTAATCAAGAATACAGAGGAATGTTAATCTGCCAAAGGTGTCTTGCTCGTACCTGGCTATAGTTACCTACATATATGTAGGAAAATGCCTGTTTATAGGTAGGGCAGGCTCCAACCATAGGGTGCCAAATTATTTTAAACGAGGCACTGACTCTAGTGATTACCTTCGATGCCGAAAATGTAGCAACCGGGCTTGCTTATAGATCCAACATTGCATATATATAGAATAATTTCTACAGACTGGCTCTGGATTAGAACATGAAATTATTCTGAACTTTCCCGGCCTCGTTTTCATGATAAATTACTTAACTGTAAATAAAGCTACGATCTAAATGGAATCAAGCTCTCTGCTTCGTTCCTCCGTATGGATTCATGAAAGGCTAAGTGATGAAAACCGTGATATGATTCCCGCCTATTGAACACAATAACCGTGGGTTTTCCTTTGTGTGAGAAAAGTAAAAACTAGATTTCTTTACCAAGTCCTCCACTAAGACATCTCTCCCTATACAAGTACACCAAGAATACGACTAATCGAACTAATCAACTTAACGAACTAATCATTCAGTGAGAAAATAGTTGCAGGTGGAGCAAATATACAGTTCTGCAATACGGCTTCAGCTAAAATTATAGGTGCCTCACGTGCTCAGTAATTTCATCTATTGGATCACCATAAAAGTGCTACAGATCTTCATAATTCCCTACTTGAAAAATAATAAAGCTGTCAAAATTAAATTGATACTTACTATGATTACTTATATTAATTATAATATTTCAAAAGGCAATAAACTGTAAGAAGTAAATAATTCGTATGGATCAGTTCTCGAATAAACTTACATTAGATACATTTTAAGTGATACAAAGGTGAAATATAAGAAGACGAAAGAAATAATATTTCCCGGTTACCACATTACTGAATACACTGCGGTTTCTGATTATGCCTGCATTGTTTGAAACAAATATAGCAACGTCATCTCAGAAATAATATGCTTAATCGTAGACCCAGTAAAAATTCCCATCAAAAAAATTGTAAAGCCTATAAATTAATATTAAAAGGAAGTGAGAGAGGACGTACATAAAAAAGAAATTGAAAAAATACTTTAATACTGGAAGCTGTGAAACCTTCAGGCAACGGCTTGAACCAAGAATGTGCATTCCAATGAAACCACGCAATAAACAGAATAACCGCGCAATGCAAATTTTATACAATACAAATTTTTAAAAATTTGCATTTTCGGAAATATTTTTTTAAATAATTTTATGAATTTCGCGTGCCTTTTATTTACATATGAACACAGCCATACGTATTTCGTTTCAAGTCTTTCTTTCAATCGCCCACCAGCGGCCGAGCGGTAAAGTCGCTGAACACTGGTAGTTCGATCCGAGGTTCGAATCCCGCGAACGGGCTGGCTGCATGGGCGTTTTCGTGGTTTTCCCCATGTGTAACGTGTATACGAGCCAGTTTCCCTTAGAAAGTCCTCCACGAAGGCATCCCTCCCCTTAGGCAGATAGCCCTCGAGGCTTTGCCATAATCACACACACACACACACACACTTTCTTTCAATCTGCTGCATTTTATTAACATTATTCGTTGAATGAAATGTATATAACTACTTCTCGAAATTTAATCTTAAATACGTGCATCTATAATTTCTTCTCCAATGTAAATACTGTTTTATAATTGAAGACACCTTTATTTTTATTAGTATGCAAATAATCTCAGAACACCGATTTAATTCTTGTACAACCATAATAAATCAGGTAAAATACAAACAATCAATTTGGTTTGTTTAATAATAATAATAGGATCTGTAATAACAAAGGCGCTACAGATGGTGTTAAAAATGCAAAATAAATTTTAAAATAATAAGTTTAAAATCCATCCCATATTCAATTCGGAATAAACATATGCAAAAGCAAATATCAGAAGCATAGAGGCAAGCTGCAAGTAAAAAAGGAGGACAAAGCAAATCAAAACCAAAAATGAAATAACAAATTTACATCTTTCGCTGCATAGTCATCAGGGCGTTGGTACAACGAAAAAAGTAAATAAATCAGCCTGTTTATGAACTAACAGATTACTTCGATTGTTTTTCTGAGATTATTTTAAGTTTTAAACTTTAACTGTCTTTATTGGTACAATTTTGTTTGGTTTGTTTAATAATGGCAAAGCACACGAGGGCTATCTGTCCAAGGAAGAGATGCCTTCCTGGAGGACTTTCTTATGGTTTAGTTTGGTTTATGTGATTACGACAAAGCCTCGATGGCTATCTGATTAGGGAAGGGATGCCTTCGTGGAGGATATTCCAAGGAAAACTGGCTCCTATACATATTACACATTGGGAAAACCACGAAAACGCCCATGAAACCAGTCCGTTCGCCGGAATTCAAACCCGGACCGAACTACCAGCGTTCAGCGATTTTACCGCTCGCACACTGCTGGACTTTGTTGGTTCAGAAACAGCTGATTTATTTACTTCTTCCATAGCGACGATGTAACAAAAGATGTAAATTTCTTATTTCATTCTTTGTTTTGGCATGTTTTGCCCCTCCTTTTTGCAATTTATTACTGTGCTTCTGGTATTTGGCTTTTGCATATGTTTATATATGTACCAAAAACTTTAATAATTAAGTAGATTAAACTATCCCAGGAAAATGCTCATGTCTTCTGTGAGAATCCATCTACCATATAAAATAAGAGTAAGATGTGCAGTATCTTAGTTAAGATCAATTACTGAAACATGAGAAATTACACCGTAATTATAAGAATTACGCTAAAATTTATAAAACGCGAAGTCAACTTTTACGAATAATATTAATAATATTACTTAAAACGACATTCTTTAAGATCTTTCTTCGTGTTTCAGCTTTGTCAAAACTGATACGAACTAAATTTTACCTGTATTCCGCTTGTTTCGGTGTTTTTTAATCTGTTAAGTTATATTCACCAAGTAGAAATCACTTACTAAGTCTTTTCTTAATAAGAAAGGACTTGGTAAGAGATTTTTCGGCCCACCAGCCGCCGAGTGGTAAAGTTGCTGAACACTGGTAGTTTGGGTCGGGTTTCTAATCCCGACGAACTGGTTGTAAACGCGTTTCATAGTTTTTCCCCACGTGTAACTATGTGTGCGAGCTAGCTTGCCTTACAACGCCTTCCACGAAGGCGTTCCTCCTCTTAAGCAGATAGTCCTAACAAGCTTTGCCATAATTAAACAAACCAAACCCTTTCTACTAGTTATCTTTACTTTAACTGTGTAACTAAGGATTTCAAGGGTGAATTTTCATTTAGAATAACTTCAGTATTTTTTGAATCCCCCCATGAATGATTTAATTTTATGCATGGAATTTATTTGCTGAAAATGAAGTAAAGGGCAGGAAAGAAGATATTTTGGAACTCTGAAATAGAGCTGATAATTTTGATTAAGACAATAAATTTAAAAAGACAATAAAGACACTGAAAATCGAACGCTATACTAGTTATAGAGAATATGATGCTAACGAAAATTATGGCTCAAAACCTAAGAGACAACTAAGGACAAGCGTTCAGGTACAGGAACAATGGTTAATACAGAAAATTCGAGTGCGTTGAACTTGTAGAATTCTATGTGAAAAATGATTTAAATGTCGGTTTATAATACTTAACATATTTTTAACATTAAATTTTTTAGCAGATTTTGAAAAGTATTATTATTTTTCAATATACATCACTCAATAAACTATATTGCTGAATAATCGGAAACGTTTTTTAAGAAGTACAAAAATTGAAAAACATACATAAAATCCTTTTGAAATTCATTAAAAAGTTTTCCCCACAAACGAAGTTATTTGCTCACATTCAAATAATTTATATGCTATTTTTGAACGAAATGTGAGTGAACATTCTTTGGAGTAGCAGGTAAGGAACTGAAAAATATCAGCACGGAACAGGATTAAGGAAATGCAAATAAAAATAATAACAACAATAATAATAATATAATACATCTTTTAAACAGAGAATTTACAGACTTGAAGGTGAGTTATAAAATGGTGAGTGAGGGTATAATTGATACACGTAAAATGCCTTACCGCCTTAGATAATATTTCACGGACGTCCAATCTACATCCAAGTACTCTTGCACAGCTAGATGAAGTTCTTCTGACCTGCGCTGCATTTTTAACTTTGCACCATTCATAAGTAAATTAACAATAAGAATTCTTCACGGTAAAAACAATGGATTAAATGGCATCATCTCACGCATTTAATGCGAATATTCTTGAAATTGTTCCCATAACAAATCCCTTCATGACAATCGCAGGATTTAGTGAATCATTCAACACAACAGTACGAAATCTGTGTTTGCGATGATACACAGTAAGATGCATTAACTTATTCCCCAAATCCGTAAACAGTTACTACTTTTGTATGCTTTTTGAAATACCTTCGCGATTTTCTAAGACAGCATCTGTCTTATCTGTTATGATATCGTGATACAAACAGAAACCCGCGATTAAAAACACGTGGTTTCGATACTTCAAATCCTAAACCGTGTAAAGAAATGGGTAGATCCCGCCTTCACATATATTTAATCTTGGCGATAAAACACAAAGGAAAGGTGATGAAGAGCGTTTTAAGACAAGGCAACAACGCAGATTCAAAAAATGATAGTTTAGATTTATTCGCGATCACCAACGAAATATACCACAGAGATTCAGTTGAGGTACTTAGAGCACAATTTAGAGTAAAAAATAAGCTGAACCGAATGTGCAGCCGGACGGCGACGTAACTAAGAATACACCAACGTCCTCGGGTTTCTCCGTCGACGTGGGCACAACGTTCGCAGCTCGTGCGGATTCTGTTTTGGGGCGAGTACGTCAGGCAGAGAGTAAGAAAGAGAAGGTGGGTCTATTCGATCGGCGGCACCGGAACGAAAATCTAGGCGAAGGTGACTTTCTTGGAGGAGGCGGGAGAGGAACAAGGAACAGGTTTCCGAATCTCGGAGGAAGCAGTTTTCTCGAGAGCGGGCATTTTACTCTGCTGACCACTCAGCCCTAAGGAATACCTGATACTGCTAAATATGTTTTTCGGACAAGTTTAATTTAGCATGGTTTAGAAAGTAAAATCCAATTCTGTTTTAATACAATTCATTTAATCTAACACTCGAAATCGATTCCTGCTTAAAAATCTTCAACTGAAAATAACTGTGAGAAAATTTCCTTCTACCCACTCCAAAAAAATTAATTTTGTTTTTAAAACACATTTTGCTAAGTAAAATCCTCAAAGTTAAAATTGTATTAACGCAAACGTAACTACATTTAACTAAACTGACCAAAAATTGACGTTTCTCCTTTACTTCTTGTTCGTCAAAATGGTATTTCAGTGAATAAGGTTCATTTAAGAGCACTTAAAACAAATTTAACTTATGATGATTAAGAAATGTAATAAAAATAGTTTAATTATTACTAGACTATATTCATAAAGGTATTAACCGAAGCATAACTTTTCAAATTTATTTTTGATATAGTTTTGGTTTCTCATTTCAGTTTCGTTTTCGACATAATTTTGATTTCAAAGAAAACACCTAAATATCCCTAAACAAAGACGTTACTTATTTTGATACGTTATTCAACACCTAAATATTTAATAACAATATTATTACAAATAAAGTTTTAATTCAAGCCATTGAAGCGATTTATATGAAAACAGATTTGAATTGGGTTTTTACATCTGGAAGTAATCTTCCGCCCCCCCCAAGCTCTTGTTCACGTTTTATCATGAGTCTATATATCGAGTAAAAACTTTCTTAAATGCAATCCCATTACAGCGTAATTTACGCGTTTCGAAAGCTACCGTAAAAGAAAGTTTAACACTTAAAATAATAACGGTAATAATAATAATAATTTTCAAAAAAGCCTGTTTATTAAAAAAATTTTTATGAAACGCCAATAACCTAAAAATTTTCTGGTACTTTTCCGTTTCGCCGGCGCAAATCTCGCCAAGCAGACTTTATTGGCGACAACATACAGTATACACATAAAAATATTTAAAAAAAATGTTAGTTTTAAGAATTCTTTTTTTAAAGGCATAAACATTTTAATATCGCTTAAAATTTTATAAAAAAAAACCGATAAATAAAGACAATAAATTTGTAAAAAAGACATTAATTTAAGAATTTACTATGCTTTCATGGTTCAGCATCCTGATTCGCCGGTTTCATATCACGTGACCCCAAGCGATCTCATCTCATGTAAACTACTCTCTACAAAAATCTAATGCTCTCAGTAATTATCTACATTAATTTCAAGTTAAATCTTAATTTGGAACACAAGTTTAAATGCAAGAAATATTTCAATTCGTACGAATAGCTTACTCAGAAATTATGTAAAACTGCAGTGCTTTACTTCGCTAAGCATGCATTCTCATTAGAATTGATGAATTTAACTCTTTGACTTTACCTTTCTATATTTTCGGCTTCGGGTAAGCGCTGTGATTGCATCCTAATTGACTTAATTACCGAAAATGGCCTAGGACATAAAACTGAACTATCTGATAAAAATTCTATGTAATTATATGTCAGTATTGAAAGAAACAATCAATCTGATAAGAAAAAGCTGCGACTTGTTTCGAAAATGAGGCGTAAAAGGTTACCAGCGAGAATATTCCGTTTGGCATCGGTTGCACCATTATTAGCGACTTTATCGCTTGCGCCGGCAAAACGGAAAAGTACCAATTTTCTTTCAGATTTTACATTACGCCCAAGGGGGCGTTTTTTTTTTAACGTTTTGTGTGTTACCTTTATTTATTAAATATCATGTTCTTCGTATTTAAACCATAAAATTCAGTTCAATAGCAATATCGCAAAATAATTTTAAAATGAGCACATCTTTAGAATTTTCGATACACTTTCTCGCGAGCTAGAGATAAAAAGTTCCCCCGCCCCCGTACAGTGTTGCCATTGCTTGCTTTTAAATCGTTGAGTTTGTTAATCAAAAATTCGTTAAAGTTTTACAAAATATGAAATAGATGATAAAGCAAATTCCAAATTAAGGCTACCAGATGCCCATATTAGGTGAAAGATTACGTTATTCAAAATTAGATGGCTCTAGGTACCGTCGTTTTATCACAATGCGAGAAACAATACATACATTTATGCAAATTCTTCATTATCTAATTTCTTTAAATAGAATACAGGGCTCTAATATTTGTTGACAACAATTTGAAAAGTGAACCAACTCAAAATGACAAAACGAAATTAATAGTCCTTCTGGGCAAATTGCCTCTTTGGATTAACAAAATCAAATGGAATGCAAGTATAATCTACAGCAAAACTGATTTTCAATAACATTATCAAATAAACTTCGAACAAGAGTGAAATCATTGCTTGCAAGAGCAGAGCCACGTTTAGACAGTTCTTTGTTTTAGACAAAAATTAAAATGATAACACAATGCAAAATACAAAATTAAATGTGCGGTTTGCAGACGTTTCTCATTCAGTTTTAATGTCATTTTTAAACTAAATCATCGTTACGATAATATCCATTCAGTTTATTTTATTTTAGCTATTTATTCCCTTATGTTCGTTGAGAATGTGGGTATGAGTGCTTTATATGGTCTTCAAAATCTGATGTGGACACCACATGACTTCCCTGTACGGCCTATTAAATTGTTCACATTTTCTTCTGCACTTCATTTAAACTTATTCCCTCGAGTTATTCTAACTTAATTAATCTACTTCCTCCAGGAAACTTAAATGACACCAAAAACTGCAAATTTTGAAATTAAATGACCTGGTCAACTTTTTGTCGTAGGGGAGTCAGACTTCTTATAATTTTACTTTTTCAAAATTTTTCCAAATATAAATAAGTATACGCACCAGGAGACCGCATTAAAAGTTACATTTCGTTATTTGCCCGAAATTTTCTTTTTTAGCCCAAAGGGGTATTGTCCCTGAAGGACTATTCTTTTCGTTTTGCGATTTTGCGTTGGTTCACTATAAATGTCCGTTTCACTTCTCAAACTGTTGCCACCAAATGTTAGAGTCCTGCATTATATTTGAGGAAATTAAGTAATGAAAAATCTGCATAAATGTATGTATATTTCTCGCATTGTGATAAAACAACGGTACATAGAGCCATCGAATTTTGAATGGCGTAATCCTACTGCGAATATCGGCATGTGGAAGCCCAAATTTGAAATTTGGTATTTGTATTATTATCGATTTCATATTTTGTAAATCTTTAACGAATTTTTTATTAACAAACTCAAGGATTTCAAAGCAAGCAATGGCAAAGTTAAACAGAAAAACATTTTTATCTCCAGCGCGTGAAACTGCGTATCAGAAATTCTAAAGATATGCTGAATTTAAAATTATTTTGCGATACTGCTCTTGTACTAAATTTTATGGTTTAAGTGAGAAGAACGTGATATCTAATAAATAAAAATAACAGACAAAATGTTTAAAAAAACGCCCCTTTAGACTTTTTTTTTTTTTTATGTGGCATTGCCAAAACATGAACATTTTTGTCATTTGCATTTGAAATGCAAGTATATAACTACGAGCAATGACTGCGAAAATAAAGACCAGGTAAGGACTATTAAGCCGGTGAAGGGAGTAACACATAATATATATGTTTGGTACTGCGGATTGCAATAAAAAAAGAGAACCAGATGTTATAGATGCACAACTAGATGTTATAGCAGTCTCAAAAACAACATTTCAAAATTCTACGGAAAAGCAGGATAAAGCTAAGAGTTTCTAAGAGTTTTTGAATTCTTACAAGATTTTTTACAAGAAGAAATCAATTTGTTACTTTTACAGAATCAAAAAGCTGCTATGTCGAGTCAAAAAGCTGAACTGTGGTTTGGTTTGGTTTGGTTTATTATGGCAGACCACACAGGGCTATCTGTCACAGGAGAGGGATGCCTTCTTTTGAGGGAACTAGCTCGTATACACGTTACACATGGAGGAAGCCACGACAACGCACATGCAGCAGCCCATTCGCCTGGATTCGATCCCAGGTCGGAACTAACTGTACTCGCGATTTTACCGTTCAGTCGCCGGTGGGCAAGCTAATATATTCATCAAGCATAACAACGCTTTATCTTGATTAATATTTAATTAATATTATGTCACCTCGAAGATGCCAGTTTAAAATTGGAGAATCTTCCTTGACAGGTAACAGGGAACTTTAAAAAAAGGCTACAAAACTGCAGAAAGCGAAAGGAAAATCCAGCGGAAGTATGTTGTAATTAATTTCCATACAGTTCTTCAGAACTAAATTATCTTGTATTTCAATACATTTTCAGCTATGAAATTATTTATGCAAATATAATTTAAATTACGACTTTTTTTTTTTTTTTTTTCCAACAAAACTTTTTTCTTCCATCAATCCAATATCATGTTAACATTATAAATGTTATTTGCTGTACTACAAGCATTTTCTTTTCATATCCCAAAAGAGTTATTGGAGTGAAAAAAAATAAAGAATAAAATAAAACATACATCAATACATCCACGATTTTTCAAGATACCATGCAGATAAATACCTTAATATTCATTTTACCGCTCACGAACTCTAAAGGTGCATTTTTACATTACCTTTCTGCTCTGATTAATGAAAGAGATAAAAGGCATGCAGATTAATATGCATTAAGTGTATAAAAAAGCACATTCCCCCTACCAAAGTATTTAACTATCATGCTTTCGCAAATACGGCTCATTTGTTAAGACAACAGTAATTTGAAAACGTTACGCATTCAAATATATATGCCATTGACCTAATTGGAGAACGACCTCAGGTGTTTATTAAATATAAATGAAACCAAAAAATTCTCGCGGCGTCTGTCATTCCGAACATTATGACTTTAAAACAATGACGAAGGTTATCCTTTAGTAA